ATGACAGTAGACATCTCAAGAACTTTGATATAGCATACACAGGTTTTATTATATCTGATAGTTTTTCTTTTAATATCTCATCAATCTCATCATCAACACTCTAACTCATTAGTTCAATCAAGTAAAAACTTTATGTGGACAGTCCATCCAAGGAAAACTTAGTAGAATGTAATTGCAAGCTTTCTTATTATACACAACAAACAATGGTTTCTAAACATTGTTGCCTTCTTACTCAATTTGCTTACTAACTAAAATACATGTTTCTATTTAAATATTTCAGTAATACTAAAAAAAATAAGTTGAAGATTTTTTTAGTGTTGCTGGCTGTGAAAAAGATACCACTGCCTTACAAAAGGATTTGAATGATTTGGTGAGTTGGGTGAATAAATGGCAGATGACATTTAATTATAATTAAATATGAGTTATTGGATGTGGGATATCACAAATTGAATTATGAGTATAATTTTGATGGGAATAACCTTAACAGTGTTATGGAAGAAAAATATTTTGGTGTTTGGTTGATCAGTCTCTTAAGCCATCCAAGTAATATGCTGTTGCTAGTGGTAGGACAAATAGAAGTTTAGGTTGCATTTATAGAAATACTCGATACAAGTCTATAAAGAGGTTATAATGTCATTGTACAGGCCATTGGTTAGGCCACATCTGGAGTGTTGTGTTCAATCATGGGCTCCTTACCTCAGAAAGAACATTGAATTGTTGGAAAGGATTAATAGGAGGGCTACTAGGATGATACCTGGAATGGTAAAGTTATCATATAAGCATAGGTTAAGATCACTGAAATTGTTTTTTCTTGAAAATAAAATGAGGAGTTAGAGTGGATTTAATTGAAGTGTTTAAGATTGTTAAAAGAACTGATGGTATTGATGCATCATTTTTTTTTTATTTAATGATGAGAATGGCAAGACTAGGGTATATAAATTTTGGCAGAAAAAAGTCTTTTTCAGCTAAGATACCTATATTTTTCTAACAGGGTAGCTGGCCTCTGAAACAGGTTGCATTTGGATGTAGTGGATGCAGGTCATTTAAGAGAGTTAACGAGAAAGCTTGATAAATATTTTAATGATAAGGGCTGGCTTTCAGATGTTATTTTTTAAAGGTTTTATTTAATTTAGTGGATATGACAGACCAGATGGACCAAAAGGTCCTTTTCTATTCTTTACTGTTATGTTATACTACTGAATATTTTATGATGAAGCTATGGATCAGCAATGTACTATATATATATATCATTTTTTATTTTTAATGAAGGTCAGCCATATCCAAAAGATCTTAAGTAAGTAAAGAAACTAAAAATACAATTCCTTTCTTTGTATTAATACTAGTAGTGCTTGCAATAAATTTTTTTAGAGTTATGAGTTTTTGATGTTATTAGTACATTAGTGTTCTTTGAAAAGTTAAAATAAGACAAGGAGACACAATTCCATTGGGCCTATTGAAGTTACAAAAAAAAAAAAAACAATCAACACATAACCACTCATATCCATAAAATGATTCAATAAAAACTTGAAAGAATTCATCTTACCAGCACACACAATCCCACAAATTAACAACAGGGGTAAAATAGAAATTACATAAAAGCAAGCATGGTCTTCCATAGGGTAGCTTACATTCATTTCATCAAATATTCAGTATTTCATTTCCAACCTTGTCCTTCTACCCAACCAAACACCCATGTAGGTCCAACTTCCTTGTGATATTAAACATCTGAGCCAGGTCATATCTAGTTCTTCTACACTCCAAAGAAAACAAGTTCAAATCTTTAAGTCTCACTTCATGGCTTAAATGGTTCAAGCCAAAAATAATTCTGATGGCCTGTCTCTGAGCTTTTTCAAGCAAATCAATACATTTTCTATACTAAGGACACCAAATGATATATTACCAAAGTTTTATCCAATGTAACAATAACCTCATAATACTGTGCTCTTGAACCCACAATTTCTGTAAATAAATCCCAGAGCCCTATTTGCTCTTTTCGTCACTTCTAAACATTAAGCCAAAGGCTTGAGGCATTTATCAATCATCATACTCAAATTTTTCTCGCACTCCACAACACCAATATTTCTCCTGGATAAAAAAAACAAGGATTCTCCAAATATCAAGCACATCATTTCACATTTATCAATAAAGAACTGTATTTACCATAGATCAACCCACTCAACAGTACTGTCCATGTCCTTCTGAATTAGAGAAGCAATTTCTAGAGAAACAGCCTTACCCAACTATTTAGTACCATCAGCAAATTTAAAAATTTTATTGCTTATGCAATATACAGTAGTCCATAACATTGACACAAATAATAAATAACAAAGGTCCCATAACAGACTCCATTTGTCACACTTTCCCAATAAGAATAGTATCCAGTTGCTACAACCTTCTATTTTCTACCTTCAACCCAATTTTCAATCCACTTTCTGAGTTTGAATTTCCATAAGAATATAACTTACTAATTAAACTTTTGCAATGATCCTTACTGAAAGATTTCTGAAAGTAAAGATAAATAACATCAACAAGGATATCCTCATCCAAACAAGCAAAAGCTCTATCAATAAACTCCAACACATTAATGGGACAAGAAAACCCCTCTATAAAATTCCTATCTTTAAGGTGATCTATCACAATGAATTCCAGTAACTTACCAAGAACAGAAGTTTAGCTAACTGCCCTGTAATTTACTCAGTCTTTCCTATACCTTTAAAAATAAGTATTACACTGGCTCCCTTCTAATAATCTGGAATTGTTGCTAATTGTAAGTCATTCCAAAAGCCAATTACCCCCATATTGTAACTAGCCTTTCTTTTCTATATCATAAACCCTAATGTTTTCAGAATTTAGTACAAAGAAATGAGAATTATTTATCTTATCAATCCAATGGATAATCTTGCAAACTTCAATAAAATCACCTCTTATCCCAAATGAGAGAAAACAAATGAGATTTAACCCATTCCCATAAAATAACTTTCAATCCCTAGAATCATAACAGTAGTTATCATCTAAATCTTTCTAACACAGTACCAATCAGTATTCCACATGAGGCCTAACTAATGATTTATATAAAAATATATTTGCCTCTTTCCAAATTGTAACCAATACTATGTTTATAAATATATCCTGAAATTCTATTGGTTTTACTACTTCCAACAAAGCACTGCCTCAATGGCTTAAGAGACTTATAAACCACTATGCCAAGATCTTTTCTTCAGTCACCCTACTGAGTGAGTTCTCATCCATATTAAATGTGTGATCCAAATTATATTACTCAAACCAATTATCTTACTATCTGTAACGGTTATTTACCAAATATTTGCTCAACTTATCAATTTATCTGAAATATTCTGCAGCACCTCAACATCTTCATTTCAGTTAGAAATACCCAAGAGTTTAATATTAACTTAAGTCATCAGCAAAGTTTATTAATTTATTAATTATGCCCCTATTAATGTCATTAATATAAGCAAGAAAAAGCAAATGCCTAGCACTAACTTCTTAGACACACCACTAATAGCAAAGCTTTCTCTTATCCAGCCACTTTATGATCCAATTAACCCAAGCACCATAATATGATTTTCATAGTTAATTTTTTGTGTGATATCTTATCAAAAGACTTTTGAAAATCTAAGTACAAGTCCACTCCCCTTCCAGTATTTAGATAACAGATAAAATCCTCAAAAAGAAAAAATTAGTAAAGAAATATTTTTCCATATTTGCTCTCTTTTATAACATCATCTTTCACTATACGTTTTTGCAGTTTTTTTGTTTTTTTTTATCAAACTCTAGAATGTTTCTCACAACAGAAGTAAGATTAACAGGCCTATAATTTGCAGGACAACTCTTACCCCCTCCTCTCCTCTTTAAAAGTAGCAAAAGACATTATTATTTTTCAGGAATGTTCAGTCATACACATCTTTTACCTTCTTTTAGATATTAAATTAAATTCTGATGAAAGTCATACAAAGAAATGTTCCAATCATCAACATTACAATGAGTAATGTAATAAGGTTTTATAACTCAAATATTATCTAAAAGTATCGAGAAATATGAATAACCACTGGCCAAAATTCCTTATATTTTTTTGTGTATGTATCATCACTTCATAAAAATATTTATTGTCTTGGTTTTGAGTATTATATATAGTTTTTGTTCATTTACTATAAGAAAGAAAATGTTAGAGAAAAGTACAAAGAAGGTTGGTAGTTTAAAAAATTATGTATATTTATGAAGCTCACTTTAAAACTGATTTTGTTCTCAGTAAAATACAGAAGTGAAAGTGTGACATATCTAGTTCTCACTACTTCCACTGTTCCAAACATTAGTTCTAATAGGATTAGCAATGCATTTATATATATGTATAAAATCGTGTATTAAATACAAATGTTTAAAATCAAGGAAAATGCAAGATTATGTTCAGCCCAAATGTTCTTTTTTCTAACTTCTAAGTTATAAATATATTTTGAGATTTTTTCCTGTTTTTTTATTTATTTATTTTCTTTTATATTTTTTGGGGAGATAGCTTGGTTTCTTTCAGTCATCCAACCACAGATATTATCAATGATCTATATGATAAATTGTTACTTAAAAACAGTTAAAGTTAAACAAGTTCTAACTAGCTGTTACTTTTAGTCTTCTTGGTATCTTACCCTATTAATTTTTAAGGTTTAATTGGCTTCACTCATTCATAAAACTTTGAAATAAACAAAACTCAAAGGCAAAATTAAATTAATTCAACTTTATCAACATATGTTTATATTAACACTATTATATTAAAATTTATATCAATATACAAATTATAATGACTAATGTTACTAATTGCGAGTAGGCTTAGTAGTAGTAAAAGTATTAAGTACTATATCATTAAATAAGGTTACCACTAATCAATCATAATATTGTTATCGGTAGCTTTGTCTCTTGTCTAAATACTAAAATAGTAATTTTCTCAACACAGCAGTGAGAATAATACATGACAAAATTCACATTCTTCTTACATTACAAGTTACAATCACAGTTTCGACCAGAATGTTCACTTCCTTATCTTTAGCGCATTTTTCTATTGTGAGAGCACATATCGAAAATCCAAAATAAATAAAGTCAGATGCAAATAACAGAACATACATTTGACAGAACCATAACTTTACTCATTTCATTTCGTAAAGACTAACAACTAGTGTATAAATATACAAGATAATCTAGCTCCGTAGCGACACACTAAAGCTCCAGGACAATGTTACGTTTTTTAATTAAAATATAGAAATTTATCGTTTGAACATCTTAGTTATCATTATGAACGTACAATATAATTCCATGTTAGCGATTTATATTCTGTAAACATTGAAGCCTAAAATATTTTGTCACTCTCTTTTTTCCGTTTAGTAAATGAGTTATATTAAATAAATTGTAAAAAATACTATGCATATTTATTTATTCATATACGTATATGTGTGTAGATTACTAACATATCAGTACATTTCGCTGGAATACTAATAACAAAAGCAGAACAGAGATATAGGACAATATATGGCATTTTTGCTTCTCAGCTGTCAGAAATAGAGCAATAGATTTAGATTCAGAAATGACTCCGAATTATTGATTACGGTCAGGCCACTGCGAAGTTGACAAAACCAAAGCTATTTGCCCTAAGAAAATGAACCAACTAAAAAAAAAGGTAATGTAGTGTATTATCACCACACATCATCATTAACGTCATTAAAGTTCCGTAACATGTTTTGATAGAGCACTGGTGCCATAATAGAAACACAAACATCTTTGTCCAGAAAAATAAAGCGCAGGTTCAAAGTTGAACATGATCTCTGATATTACATATTGTT